ATATAAGGGCCCTCTGCTCTCAGACGGTGTGCACTGTAGCATTGGTTTGAACATAACGATAAAAATGCTCACACTCTGTGTATGACACTATTTAGCCAAGTCAGAGGGAAATCTGCACAAAGCCCCACTTTTTAAAAGCACACATTGTTAACGTGTAGAAGTCTTTCATCTCATATTTCAATACAATTTATTTAAAAACCAGGTCACCCTCTTCCTCATTCCTCTCTGCCCTTTGTAATATTTGCCCCTGGAACACACTCTGGGGGCTCGGCTGTGCCACTCTCTCCACCAGCCATCCTTGTGATGACTCGTGACTAAAGAACAACACATCCTTGTCAGGCCATTCTTGATCAGAGTAACACAAACGGCTCGTCTGACTGCAGAGCGTTTCCAGATAGATGGAGACTAAAGAGACAACCAAATGCAATATGTGAGCCTAGATTGGGCAGATAAAGGACCTTTATGGGACAACTGTCAAACTTTGGATAGGTCTGAGGAGTAGACTGCAATATTGTGTCAGTGTTAGTTTCCTGATTTTGATCTTTATATACGATTATATATGTTTGCTTTTTAAAAAAAATTTATTTATTTTTGGCTGCGTTGGGTCTTCGTTGCTGTGCACAGGCTTTCTCTAGTTGCGGCGAGCGGGGGCTACTCTTCCCTGTGGTGCGCGGGCTTCTCACTAACGTGGCTTCTCTTGTTGTAGAGCACGGGCTCTAGGCACATGGGCTCAGTAGTTGTGGCATGCGGGCTCAGTAGTTGTGGTACACGGGCTTAGTTGCTCTGCAGCATGTGGGATCTTCCTGGACCAGGGCTCGAACCCGTGTCCCCTGCACTGGCAGGCGGATTCTTAACCAATGCGCCACCAGGGAAGTTCTATATGTCTGTTTTTAGGAAATAACACTGAAGTCTTTAGAGATAAAGAGGCATTGTGTCTGCAGTTTCCCTTCAGATATTTCCAGAGAAAAATATACGTGTGAGTTATGTGTGCAGGTGTGGGTGTGTGTATGAACACATGTGGAGGGAGTGGGGAGAACGATAAAGCAAGGTAGGAAATTATGAACATTTGGGCAGTCTGGAAAGGCAGAGATGAACTCTTTGTACCATGTTCCCCACCTTTTCCCCAGTCTTAAATTATTTCAAAATAAGAGGTTTCAAAAAAATTGATCCAGGGCTTCCCTGGTGGCGCAGTGGTTGAGAATCTGCCTGCCAATGCAGGGGACACGGGTTCGAGCCCTGGTCTGGGAAGATCCCACATGCCGCGGAGCAACTGGGCCCGTGAGTCACAACTACTGAGCCTGCGTGTCTGGAGCCTGTGCTCCGCAACCAGAGAGGCCACGACAGTGAGAGGCCCGCGCACCGCAATGAAGAGTGGCCCCCGCTCGCCGCAACTAGAGAAAGCCCTCGCACAGAAACGAAGACCCAACACAGCCAAAAATGTAAATAAATAAATTGAAAAAAAAAAATTGATCCAGACAGGCGGGAGAGCTAACCAGGAGCAGCCAAAGACGGACAGGAGACCTCTGGACTTGGAATCCTTCCGGCCGCCTTAAGTCTAGTCTGCTCCAAACCAAAGTCCCAATTGTTGGGTCTTTAAGGAGCCTCTGTTCTCCTCTTCTTTCAAGCAGGATTCCACCCAAATCCCCTCGCTGGTCTGAACAGACAGTATGTTTTTCTCACCTGGCTGAATTCCCCTGGTTACCTGAAATCCCAGGTCTATGTCTTTTCCCCAGTTTCCACCTCTCCCCCAAGAAGCCTATGTAGAAGCCTGTATCCCTCTCTAATATCTCACTGGGATCCACTTTTTCTATCTACTGGAAGAGCCAAACACTGGGTTTATCCATTGCAACATGTATCAGTCAGGATAGAGTGGGTTATGCTGCAGTAGCAAACTTCCCCCAAAGTGTGGCTTACTTAATAAAAGTTGATTTCTCACTCATGCTCCATATGCAGTATGGTGTGTTAGCTCATTATCGTCGCTCAGGAAGCCTGGCTGATGGAGGCTCCATCTTATCCCATGGTAATCACCACAGTAGACAAAAGGCAATGTGGTGAATTACTCTCTGGTTCTTTAAAGTTTCTTCCTGAAAGAGACAGATGTTGCTTCCACTTATGTTTCCTTCACCACAGAGTACAGTACTTCATTGCCTTTGTGAGGAGGAGGGGCAGAAATATTTGTAACATCGCTGATGATTCTCACAGGGCTACCTCTCAGCAGGTAAGCTGAATTTAACAGTTACGTGTAGAAAAGCAACACAAGAGGCCTGCCTTGTGTTGCTGACAGGCAACAAGCAAAGATGCTGACCGTACCAGGGGCAGAGTGGTTAAGACCAATTGGCCAAGAGTCACCGGAGCCTTTCCTCCACTAGGGAGGCTTTTCCGTCTCCCTGCTCCTCTGTGTTCCCACCGTGCCCAGCGCAGGCTTCCATCATCCTGCTCTAGTGTTCTTTCGCTGTTATTTTCCCATGGTTATCCATCTGTTAGAGAGATACAGTTTTATGTGCACCACAGATGTTTATTGGGCACCTGTATCCATAGAGGCCACCTGTTATTTGCCAGGCACTGCACGAGGTTCCGGGATGTAAGGATAAGTAAGACATTGGCTCTGCCCTTGTGGCATTTCCTGACTTGTCACGAAGACGGGAAAACAGATGATTTAGAGCTACGCCCAGGTCAGCGCCCTCACCACGCCTGGTGTGGCCAAATGGGGTATCCTGGGAAGCTCTGTCATCCTCATCCTCCAGTGGAGACCCTCTGACCATATTTGGGAGGTGGGACAGTGGCGAGAGGAGGGGAGGAAGTGGGAGACAGCCCTCCTGCTACATTGAGACACTGTCCACGTTCTCCATTTATTTTTCTCTCTGGCTAACAATAGGGCACACGGCACAAAATGTGCCACTGGGCAGGATTAGAAGTCCTGGTGTAAGGGCTGTCACTGTGTCCTGTTTTGGCAAACAAGAAATATTTATTAGGCATCTATTGCAATAATAAGGCGAGATCTGCTTACATTTGGGTGATACTTTATAAATCAGGTTCCCATTGAAAATCACTGGCTCCTCTTACAAATGACGATGCTGAGGCAGGGAACCTATTGGTTTCCTTAAAAGTCCCGACTGAACTACTTAGAATTCAGGGTCCTGATTCCCCGCCCAGGCACTTGCCACTAACCCATACTGCCTAGACCTTGTTTGAGACTCTGCAAAGATCCTCTGCCTGCCTGAGGATCCCACAGTCTAGGGGAAGAGTTTGTACTCCCTCTTGATGGATGTAGGGCAAAGTCGTGTTGATTGAATCACAGCCCTTGGTTTTTCCCTGAGTCAAGTGAATCTATAAGATCTCCCTTTCCTCCAACCTCCTGTTGGGTTTCATGATGAGAAATGCAAGATGAGAGTGACTTTTCAAGGAGTGCAGGAGATCAGAGCTGCCAAAGGATGCTTTGCTGACTCACAGCTGCCAGTGCATGATGTAATTGCTGTGAGATACAGCAAGATGGCAGAGGGAAGATGAGGCCGGGCTCCTGTCTCCCTCAGCAGGATTCTCTTGTTTGCTGCAACTTGCAGCCAGGGATCGGATGCTGAGTCTCTGGGGCCAACACAAGGATGTGTTGCGGATACAGGCCAGTCTTATCATTTCTATTTGCTAAGGTTTGGAAAGATTTCTGGCCTCTGGCTTGCATTCTGTTGATGAGATAATATATGTAGAGCCCTGAGCACACAGTAAGTGGGTAATAAATGATAACTGCTGTTAACAGTAATAATTACAGCAATAATGATCTTAACAGTTACTGGAATAAAGCAGTAGTATTAGAGCAATAATAATTTAGTGATGGAATAGTAAACATAATATTAGAGCAGTCAGTGGCCTGGTGTGAGGGTTCCTCTGGGTGTGGTCCACCCAGTGGGAAAGAGGT